GCGCGACGAAAGGCGTGATCTTCTCTCTGTTCGAGAGACTGACCGCGCCATCTGCCGTGAGCTGGTGTATGATCGAAGATAGTGGCGACGTGTACGTCTTTCTCTTTGATGGACCGGTTTGGCTAGAGTCTGAAGGCCCTGACAGCTCTGGGAAGCCGTCGCTCGTGAGCATCCGGCCTACTGCTTCCGCGTTGTGTTTCCATATCTGATGTTCGACCGGGAGGAGGTGCGTCTCGATGTCCAGTGCTGGACGGGATGTCACCTTGAATGCTCCGCTGATTGCTCAAGCTGCTCGAGCTTGGATTATCTTGAGCGTGTTAAGAGTCTTGTCTGTATATATTCCCTTCTTTCCTCCTGGATTGGACCAGAGTGGGCACGCGTACATCATTTGTGGAACTGCGACACCTGGGTAGATCTTCCTCATCTCAGGTAGGCGGATGCCCCATGTCGAACTCCCCAGGCAGCTCGGGGCATTCACCGTGTTCGTGGTCTTTCTGCGTATCTCCTCGACGTGTTCCTTCCACCTCAGCTTGCTGTCTAACGTAACTCCCAGGTACTTGCACGTTGCCTTCGGCTTAATTTGTCCCCAGGTTGTATCCAGCGGTCGATTCACCTCGATGCGCGTGCGCGCTTGTGTAAAATGGACCAGCTGGAACTTCTCCGGAGCGAACTTGGACGCGTGTGTCTCAGCCCACCTACCGGCTTTCACGAGCGCACGTTCGAGTTTGGAGCATGTATCTTCCATGGTGTCTCCACAAGCAAAGATTGCCCCATCGTCGATATATCCCCTGGCTTCTGTCTCCTCAGAGTTACAGCATTTTATCAGATCAGCGTTGTACAGGATGAAGAAAATTGGGGACAAAGGGGAGCCCTGAACGCCAGTCTCGATATTGTACTCCTCGGACTCGTGGCCGTCAACTATGATCTTCGTTCGTCTGCCGCTTAGGAAGCTCGCTATCCATCTAGCGATCCTTTCGTCAACCCTCCGTTTCCGCAGGTTGTGCAGTAGTCTCTTGTGCGAGACATTGTCGAAGGCACTGGACACGTCGAGCAGTAAGAGCCTGAGCACCTGGCCTTGACCTTTGTTCCATGCCTTGTACACCCTCTCGACGACGGTGTGTAGCGCATGTTCCACGGACCGCAGCCTCCTGCCTCCCATGTGCAGCTTAGGAATAACATGAAACTTCTCGATCAGATAGCTCAGCCTGCGTGCAATGATTGCGTCCATCACCTTGCCGATAGTATTCAGTAGTGCTATGGGGCGGTATGCCTTCGGCGTGGTGTAATCGTCTTTGCCCTGCTTGCGCAGTACTACTGTGGTGGAGTTGCGAAAGTGCGCAGGGCAATATCCGATCAGAAGGCTCCGGTTCATGATTGTGACCAAGTGTCCCACTTCGTATGGACGACGCAGCTTGTAGGACTTTGTTCGGTATGCCGTCCGGTCCTGGTGCCTTGAGTGGTGCTGCAGCCCGGATGGCTTCCAACACTTCCTTCTCCGTGATGTCTGGCATTGGGATCTGGTCTTTGTACTGCGCGTTCTCCATATCGCTTAGATCGGCGTCAGGCGGTTTCGGGAAGAAGGTGTCTCGGAGCAGACTCGCCTTCTCCTCGGGTCGCACAGCCTTCTCGCCGGTGGCGGGGCATCTGATTGCTGGCCTTACGCTCGGGGGTTGGTTCCCTCTGTTGCGAGCCCACTTGGCGATCCTCCAGAGCGACTCAGGTGACTCGGCGGCCAGCTCTGCTCGGTCTCTGTGTGCTTGCCTCAGAGCCTTTCTTATAATGCGCGTCTTGCGGTTCCGTGCCTCGGCGGTATAGCTCCCATGCCGTCGTTGTCGGTCTTCTTGTGTACACGCGGCGTAGATGCTTCGTCTCCGCTAACACTTCAGTGCATGTCCTATTCCAGCCTTCTCTCCCCTTAGGACTGGGCTGCTCTGGCGGCAGTATTTCATCGGCGGCTTGCATAATCGCATCTACGAGCTCCCAAGTATACCTATCGAGTGCGGCTTTTGTCCTCGGCCTCCTTCTTGGCGGCAGGGAGCATCTAAGCGCCTCGCAGAATTTCTCGGTGTCCAGGTTCTTCCATCGCCGCTTCGGTTTGGTTCCCACCAGGATCGTTCGGACATCTAGTAGGATGCTGATAGGCAAATGATCAGAGTCGTGGTCCATATCTCGATCTACCGTGCTCTTAATGATCCTGTCCACCATGCCTAGCGTTGTCCAGTAGAGGTCTATAGTCGATCTACCATCTCCTTCTTCGTAAGTGATTGTGTCTGGTTTCAGCATGCTGGTCCTGTCGAGGTTCTCCATCATCTCGAGGAGATCCCTCGCCTCTTTTTCCTCCCGTCGGACCTGCGAGCCGCCCCAATGGCGATGATGTAGATTAAAGTCGCCAAGTGCGATTTATTCTTCAGGTGCGTGTTTCTCCAGCTGTGCTTTCAGCGATGGGATGGTGCTTTCCCGTCCCTCCGTGTTCTGTGGTGCGTTGTACACGTTGTGTATGGCCAGCTCGTTGCTTGACGCATCTGCCCCGCCTATACGAATCTTCAGCGTGCACAGGTCCTTTGTGTGTTGTACGAACTTCTATGTGCTGTGGTCGAGCCTTTTATTAATGAAGAAGCATACTATTGCCGGGCCATCCTCTTTGTTGATTTCTGGATAGCAGAGGTGGAAGATGTCCTTGACGGGATGGTGTGTTGTTGACATGAAGGGATTCTTCCACAGTTCCTGAATAGCGAGTACGTCATACTCTATCACTCTCGGATCTCGTAGCAGCGTTGCCATGATGATGTCTTTCGCCTTACGTACGTTATACTGCAGTATATTTAGTTGCGGTTGTTCTATCATAGGTCTGCGTCAGTATCGATGTCCATCTGTGAGTTCCCCTGTCTAAGTGCGTTAGCTGCCTGTGCCTCAAGCGCCCTTCTAGAAGGTATCACCGCTCTCTGCGGCCGTTGGCTAGCGCTTGGAGGTTCGTTCTCCTTGTCCCCTGCTGGTGCTGACCTCTTCTGTCCTCGTCCTTGCGTAGAGCTGGGCCGACTCGTCCTTGATTTTTCGTGTAGTGTCAAGTCTCTCGTAGATCTTGATCTCCTGAGGGATATTCGGTCCAGTCCACGCTGGTCGATCTCATTGTGTGTGCCGTCAAAGCCGGGTGGTATTTTGGACGGGTTGTGAGGATCGCCTTAATCTTGGCTACCTCCTCCTTCCTGGTTGGACATTCCCGACTCCAGGCCTCATGCGTGCCGTGGCATACGACCCACTTCCTAGCGGCTTCCCGATTTGTCTTCGTCGGGCATTCCCAGGAACTGTGTTTCTGCGCGCAGTAGCCACATGTTTTCGCTGCCTTGCATTGGGTTCCTATGTGGCCGTACTTTTGGCGCTGGAAACACTGCTTCAGTCGGCACTGCCTCTCGTATCGCTCGGCCGGGCACATCTCGCCCTGCCAGACCAAATTCTCGTCGATGATCCTGTTGGCGTCTTCTGGCTTCGTGAACTCGATGACTATTGATGACATTGCCTTCTGTGGTGGCTGTCTGGTCAGCCAGCCTATGTATTTGATATCCGCAGTCGGAAGGAAGGCTCTGTTTTCGTGTAGGATGGTATCTCTGACTTCTTCAAAGTTCTCCATATTGATCGTGCTTGTGCGAATACCATGAACAAGAACTCCGTATGTGTAAGTACGTACTGACGTTCCGTTTCCAAGACGTGGTACCTAGTCATCTGTGAACTGACGGAGCGTCTGCATCTCGCTGTTGTTGGTTGTCCTGATGCTAAGGTCTCCTCTCTTGAGCTGATTGGCTGACATGGTTGTGATCTTAGCTATGTATTCGTTGTCTTCATTGTACGCGGGTTCATGGCGCGTAAGTTCTGTATTGTTTGGGCGTTTCTTATATTTACGATGATCTCACGCTGCACGGGAGCTGGAGATGGAGCAGTATAAGCGTTCTGTACGTTGTATTTGCCTGCTGCCAAAGCACCTTGTGCTGCCGCAGTGGCATAGCTCATCGGTGCTCCCGTTTGATGCCGCGTACCATTGTTCTTAATATCTCTTGCCATGCCTGCTACCGTCTTGCCGACTTCCGCCGCCTCATTCGCCGCCACGGTCGCCGCTTCGCTAGCCGCCGTGCCCTTTTGTACATTCGCCGTCAAATTCTTGACTTCCTCCTTGATGTTCTGTATTTCTTGTGTTTGTCCATTTGCGTTTTGAGACAAGTCAGCACGTATCATGGCTATCTTGTCGTGTACTGCCGTCATGTCAGGGGTCCTTGTGACCTTCCCGACCAGGTCTATTGTTGCCATAATGACTGTCCTCATCTCCCCTGAGGTTATTGGTTGGTCTTTTACGCGATCGAGGTGAAGCAATACGTTCCGAAGATATCCCGTAAGTTGAGTAGCGTGCTCCTGTATCGGTGTTGGCCATGTCATCTCCTGGGGCCAAGGGATCGTCATCTCGCGTTCCACACGCGTTGGGTGACGCGCTGCAAAGGCTAACGATCTCAATTCGTCCGGAGTGACGTGTCTGTACGATAATACTACTCAATTTCAATGATTCGGGTTCTCGCTGTTATGATGTATTTCTTTGGGTTGCGCGACTTGGTGGCGAATTACGTTATGACGAATTTAATCGCAAAACCACGTGATCTACGAAGAAGCAGACAATGTGGATCTCTTGAACATACTGCTCGCACATGTTCTAGATGCTGAGTTTATCTTAGATAGTTCAGCTATCTCTTGTTGTTGTATAGTCATACCTCTATTAGAAATTTGAAGTGGAAAAATTCGCCCACGTGTTTGTGTCGCGATACGAAAGTTGTTAACTTTAGTGTGGATTGTGAAACAGGTTAGCGCGTTTTGCCTTATGTTCGATACCTGCGATTCATCTACGATTTCAGCATTTTGTGAGATCTTTTACGACCTCAACTAAGGACATCTACCATTCATGGCACCAGCGGAATCCTCGAAATCCGTCAACTCTTTCAAGGTCGAGCCTCGTCTGGCCTCAAGCTACGAACTCCCGTGGGTTGAGAAATATCGTCCTGTGGTCCTTGATGACATCGTTGGCAATACTGAGACTATTGAGCGCTTGAAGATAATAGCAAAAGATGGCAACATGCCACATGTTATAATCAGTGGAATGCCTGGAATAGGCAAGACGACGAGCATTCTATGTCTGGCGCGACAGTTGTTAGGTGATGCCTACAAAGAGGCTGTTCTTGAACTCAATGCAAGTGATGAGCGAGGTGAGATTGCACTTGACCGAAACATACATACGACAATCAGGTGACCCCAAATTTAGGTATTGATGTCGTTCGTAATCGCATTAAAGCTTTTGCTCAGAAAAAAGTAACCCTTCCACCGGGGCGCCAAAAACTCATAATTTTGGACGAGGCAGATAGTATGACCTCTGGTGCGCAACAAGCCCTTCGTCGCACCATGGAAATATACTCCTCTACCACTCGCTTTGCATTTGCATGTAACCAGTCCAATAAGATTATTGAGCCTCTACAGTCACGATGCGCTATCTTACGATATGCCCGATTGACTGATGCTCAAGTCCTTTCCCGCTTGAAAGATATATGTGAATCTGAGAAGGTGGAATATAGCGATGATGGGCTGGCCGCTTTGATATTTAGCGCTGAGGGTGACATGAGACAAGCCATTAACAATTTGCAAAGCACCGCCAGTGGCTTCAGCTTTGTTAGTAGCGAAAATGTCTTTCGAGTCGTGGACAGCCCTCATCCTCTCAAAGTGCAGATCATGCTGAAAAATTGCAGCGAGGGCAAGATTGATGCTGCAACGGACGTTTTGCATGAACTTTGGTCAGTTCGTTTCTCTGACCTAAGACACTATGGCTAACTGAATGGTTTGAAGGGACCTAGGCTATTCGACTCATGATATCGTTTCAACCATGTTTCGCGTGACGAAGATGATACCTGATTTTTCCGAACACACGAAGCTGGAATTTATCCGTGAAATTGGCTTTACGCACATGCGAATACTGGAGGGGGTGCAGACATACCTACAGCTTGCCGGTTGCTTAGCCCGATTGTGCAAGATAAATATGAAGTCTCATCTCTTTTTAATGCCCGCATGATTTAAATAGAACCGATTTATATTATATGAACTAGATTTTTAAACGAGAATTCAACAGAACAGCAAGAATTCTTCCAATTTATACTTCTGCCATGCCAGCAATTTTAGAGTGAACAAACACAAGAACATTAAGCTACTCTTCCAAGCAGACTTAGGCTATTGAGATGACGCTTTCCTTAAACATACATTCGCAGTTTTAGATCGCTTTATTTAGATTCTACACGCGGATATGGCAAGACGCATAGCCACCGCATAAGCTAAAATTTTTTCAACTATCGTCGCTATCGATTACAACACCTCGCCATGCCATGCTAAAGTAGAAACGATTTTGCCTTGATGCCAAGGATTTTTGTGATCGATGTGACTGATTAAAGCCAAGTCTTTCTACGGCGGAAGCCAACTAGGGTGCCGCAAACATAGGACTCGGTGTACGAAGGTGTGTATATTGTACACAGCGTTGTGTTCTCGAGGTCAGGGATCATACCTAGACCATGCCAGATAGCCCGTTAAGCGCATATGCCTGTTGATGTCGGTCAGAATTGTAGATTGAGTTGGCGAAACTCCACGCACCATTGGTCGTATATTTGGATGCGGAACAGCGTCGAACTGTGTGAAGTCGAGCTTGTAATCCGATCCAATATTGATAAATGCACCCTTGTTCTCCGTTGAATCACAATACCTGGGTGCTGAAAATACGGTGATACACTTGCCGTCATGCTCAACTTCATACCCATCCATGCGGACTTCATGACTTCGTATGACTGCTTCTAAGTGATTCTTTTCACAGAACTTCTTCGTAATATCTGGGCCAAATTGTAAGCCGACACCGCGCTTAGAAGGACCTCTTCCGGGCTCTTTTTGAGGATCTGTCCATAGCATCTCCATCATAAGGCCGCTTTGACCGGGTTGCCGTTGCCTATGCCTGTTAAAATTTCGTATATCGTCGAGTGTGACATTGTCATCTGAAAATAAGCCCCCATGCAATACAAGATATTTCTGTCCTATCAACGTGGCAAGTGGGAGTGCCGAAAAGGACTCCGAAAAGAGCTTAAAAACACGATCGGTCGAATATTTAGCCCTGCATTCACCTTCAAATCCATACATGCGATTCATATCATCGGTTTCATGGTTTCCACGGTTGAGTAAGATGGTCTTAGGAAATAACAGCTTATATGCGTACAGTGTCAAAGCTACTTCCGTTGACCAGGAACCACGATCCACGAAGTCTCCATTGAAGAGATAGCCGTGTTTCTCTGACGGGTATCCGTTGATCTCAAAAATATTGATCAGATCGAAGTACTGACCATGTGTATCGCCACAAACTGTAAGCTTGTGCCCCTCTGCAACTGACGTCTCCACCATTGTCGGCTCCGCGTACACAAGATCTTTCACTGCAATGATGATCTGGAAGACATATTTTTTGTGGATCTTCTTTCCGTCCTTGAATCGCTGGACCATGTCTTTGATGAAGTCTTCAGTCATACCTTGCTCCATATCGAGCTTGGCACCGTCATACGAATCTTCCACAACCATATGCTCCAAATCCAAGCCCTCTGCTGCACTAGGAGCTTCACCTATGTCTATTGCTTTGAGAAAGGCATCGCGTTTGACGATTTTGTTGCATTCGTTATATTGCAATTTTGCCTTTGCGTCATTGGGGTTCTTCTTAATCACAACTTTCCAATCTCTTAGCGCATCTTGATGGTGTAAGGTTGCCGTATGAGCTACTGCGCGCCGGTAGTAAGCCTTAACATTATCAGGTTCGATTTCGAGAGCCTTAGTTGCATCTGCTATTGCGAGACCGAAGTTTTCCAGTTTTATATTCGCCTATGGTAAATGATTAGCGAATGTACGAGCGTGATATGCAATCGTGTTGGAGTGACGGTTCACTGTCAATGTCCAAAATAGCTGAAGCGTACATGCACAGGTAGCAGGATAAGAACCATCGGAGTTGTGCCTATACATACAACTTGGGATTCTGCCCGTGCTGAAGCACTCCGTTACTCGAGGGAAGACGGCGACTATGGTAAAAGCGCGAGTGTCCTGTAGCTTACTCACTTGAGCACGGTTCGTATAGAATGAAGCTTCGTTGTCGCATAAACTGATAGCCTTTGTGTAGAATGATATTGCCGTGGGCCAGTCATGTTCCCGGAAGGCCTGGTTTCCTAGCTCCTTCAGCTTGACGGCCTCGTCGTTGATGGCCATCACTGGAGATGGACGGAGAGAGGCACGCGATAAGGGTGGCTTGATATGGTCGTGCTCAGAAGACGTGATGGAAAATAGCTAGCAATATGAAATGGGTCTTTGTGAGAGTGTTTTCATGTAAGGCGCACTTCCGCACTCCTTTTCAATCAAGTTTGTCGATCTTTGAGCGTTTTCATTTCATGAGCTTCTCAAAGTTGTTTCGGACGATTTCTTCAGATTAGTTCTATTATATTAAACCAATCAGGGTCATCAAACTCTCCGAAACCGGTCTCAAAAGACCAATCTTTTAATGACATTATCGTACATATCCTACAACTGTCACGGAACTACTTGAACACAAGAGGACATCGCTGTAACTGTGAAGCAGCGCGTTGCAAAAAGTGCTCAATTCAGTAGTGTGTATACTAGCTATAGTTACCAAGTACAAAGCAAGACGTTGCACAAAGGGGAGAAGAAGGGACAGCAAACAGTTCTGCCAAGAAAAAAATAACTTGAGGCTATTGGCTGATATCAGAGGATGTTGGCTGGTGTTTGGCTAACCTTGAACCTATTAAGGCAACAGAATAGTGCTTATCATGTTCATAGGGGAACCCTGTGGCAACAAAAAAAAATTGTGAATGATCTAAGCTAGAAATATAGAATAATATCCAGAAAAAGTAGGCTAGGTATGCTTGAGAAATCCCCGTAGGATGCAACGTCTGGAAGCCTATTGTTTTGCGAATGGATCCATCGAATGAGGAACACCTTTCTGTGAGGAAAGATGGTGAACGTGTAAGATAGATAATATATTGCAAGTGTGGCCTCTTGTCCTACTCTAGTGTCATCTCAAATGAGACTTGATAGGGGTTCATTGTACGCAACATCCTACTACGGGTTTGCACATATGCTTCACCATCGCTCGTGGAGTGTCTTTTTGCAAGCTCCCATGCTCCACATAGCAGTGTATAAAGTACTCTATTATGTTTGTGAGCAGTCTCTAGTAATTGGATTCCAGCTATCTAGCCCAGATGCTTTCTACAACCAACATGAAAAAAAAAAGAAAGAAAAGAGGAAATGAGCTTAGTGATAAGTGTTTTTTAGTCTTCTGAGCACTATTCTCACACTAACGATTTTTCCTGTACATACAATTAATTACAGGTATAGCCCTGAGAATGGGTCTGGCATGTTGCAATACACTGAAGCTAGCGTTTCTTTTGTTATGTATACATAATAAACCATATTGACGTTTAATTCGACTCAAACTTAAAAAATTTATTAGCCAGTAAACCATACTTATCTTTCAAGAGCCGTAAAGATTACATTGTTGTTATCAAAAGGAAAGTAGAGTACGCAATGAGGATGCAAAGCCGCGCCACTCAAGTAGCTTACCGTACGTAACGCACTGATTTTGAAACACTAATTTTTTAGACTTATTAGGACAACATTGCTTGGCAGCAATGCTGCCGCATGCCATCTCTCATTGCACGTCGTTTCAGCATTTTATCACTTCTGTTCAGGTACCATTGGCTTCCGCAAAAATTTTAGCCATCTTAAGTTCACGCTGTGCTCATTTGATAATTATCTTGAACACAGCACTGCACGCACAACAAAACATCCCCCCACTCTGGCATTTGTCTCGGCTGTTACGCTCTCCAAAAGCCTAAAACGCAACTGGTAACCTCGAAACCACGAAACCACGAAGCCAGAGTCAGAGCAGCTGTCGAAAGCTATCCAGTCAGAGCCGAAATGTCATCGCTCGCACGTGATTACGGGGTGACAACGGGCTATCAAACGAGAACTCTCCGTGCCTGCATGGTCTGTTCCATCATTCGCCCACAAGCAGACTTTCTAAAGGATGGATGTCCTAATTGCGAAGAAGCATTGCAAATGGCTGGTTCGCATGACACTGTGAGCGAATGCACTTCTTCAAACTTTAATGGCATCATCGCCCTTATGGATGAGAAGAATAGCTGGGTAGCTCGATATCATCGCTTAGAAGGCTATAAGCCGGGAATGTACGCGGTGCAAGTCATTGGCAATCTTGGTGAGGAGTACATTGATATGGTGCGTGCGGTGGGGATGAGGTTCGTCAGAAGAGATGGCAAGAAAGTCGAAGACGAGCAGCCTGAGTAGAATTTCCAACTCATTCATCAGTTGGCAATGCAGATTACGTGTGTGAAAATCTCAAGTTTATGGTCATTCAGGTTCTGATCTTGATTATCTTGCTTATCCACTTGAAAAAATTGGTCACGAGAACAATGTTTGAGCATGGTGAATAGAGACCTTAATTAATCGACACCAGCCGATAGTACAAAGATAGAAGTTTGAGACCAATATCCATGTTGTTGATTTTAGCCACCATCAATCCATCAAATTTAATTTAGAGGTCGCCATAGTGCAAAAAGGAAAATCAGATTTATGGAAGTATCATCTATGAAGTTGGTCGAAATGGAGAGGCTGACATATCAAAGACACAAAGGTACTTGTCTAAGCAAGTAGAACACTGGCAAAGTTTGATTATGTGATGTTGCACTTTACTGTCTTTTCAACTTAGTTGCATTCATATTGCAACAATCTTTTAGGTTTGCACGGCATGGCCATTCCAATTACTGCGGCCTTGAAATCACCTCTTTTTCAATCAGCATGTTAACTTGCTCCTGAAAATTTAGAGTTACTTTCGATGTTACAATAACCCTTGGACTGCCTACAATGCTTTCAACACCGTATTTGCGATGGACTTTGCGAACGACTGTTCGAAGTCACTGATAATATCGTCGATGTGCTCGGTGCCTACGGAGATGCGGATCATATCCTCGGTAACTCCACTGCTAAGTCGTTCCTTTTCTGATAATTGCTCATGCGTTGTAGTCCATGGGTGGATAGCAAGAGTTTTGGAGTCTCCAACGCTATAAAAAAGAAGTTAGTATGCTTGCGTGAGCGTGTAAAGCGAAACCTGACATACTTGGCAAGATTAGAGACCAATTTGAGATTGTCAACAACCTGACTGCCAGCAGCCCCGCTCCCGTTGATACCAAAAGACAAGACGCCACCAAACCCACGTTTCAAGTACTTTTTGGCCAATTCATGCGATGGGTGACTCTCTAGTCCTGGGTATGACACCCAAGACACATTTTTATTCGCTTCTAACCATTTAGCAAGTTTGAGTGCATTCTCAGCGTGCCTTTCGGCTCTCAGGCTTAGTGTCTCGATACCGAGAAGCAATTGTTGCGCCCCAAATGGGTTTAGACATGCCCCTAAATCTCGCAAAATTTCCACGCGAACACGAACGGCAAAACTAATAGGGCCAAAAGTTTCGAAGAATTTGAGTCCATGGTAGCCTTCAGCAGGATCGTTGAACTGCGGAAACCGTTTCGCATTTTTTCTCCAGTCAAACTTCCCACTGTCTACAATTACTCCAGCAATTGTAGTGCCGTGCCCTCCTATCCACTTAGTTGCGGAGTGAACAACAATATCTGCACCATAATCAATAGGGCGCACGAAGAACCCGCCAGCACCAAAAGTATTGTCAACGACAAGTGGAACTCCGGCGTCATGAGCTACTTTGGATATTGCCTCAAAGTCTGGGACATTGTAGCGTGGATTGCCTATACTCTCAATATAGACAGCCTTAGTCTTGTCATCGATTGCTTTTGCAATGTCTTCCGCTTTATCACCGTCGACAAACTTGGTCTTCACACCAAGACGAGGGAGGAAGACCTTAAACTGGTTGTAAGTACCTCCGTACAAGTTGGACGTTGAGACTATGTTGTCGCCCGCATGGGCCAAAGCGGCAATGGTCATAAATTGGGCTGCCTGTCCTGAAGAGGTAGCTACTGCAGCAACACCTCCTTCCAACGCGGCGATTCGCTTTTCAAAAACATCTACGGTTGGATTCATGATACGCGAGTAGATGTTGCCGAATTCTTTGAGGCCAAATAAACGAGCGCCGTGGGCTGAATCGTTGAAGACAAATGACTTTCTGTGTCAAAATTTCGAAAACAGAACATGTAGCAACTGTTCTCACCGTTGTAGCATAAATGGGCACCGCTCTGGAGTTTGTCGTTGAATCTGGTTCTTGGCTATTGGCTCTTAGCTGAATCGGTCATTATGACATTTTTGGTGAACCTACCCAGCGTGCAGCTGAAGGGTTTCAAATTTTGATCGCCGTTCTTGTGCCATTTTTACTTTGTATGATCACACCGTGTTCTAATAGCTTCTGTTTAAGATCGAGGGTAAAGAAAATTTCGTTTTAAATTGATTCCGTTTTGTTTCCTCCGAAAGATTGCTTACATTGAATTTTGCTTTATGGTTATGGGAATCCTTTTGACAATTCACCAAGCGATATACGAAGTACGGATGTAGCCAATAGGCGACGCTTGCATTCTAGGAGACTGAGCTCAGGAACACGATGTGATAGGAGTTGGCCCTTCACTTTTAAAAACTGATGGAATTGAGTGATGTAGGATTTGCAAAAATTGTTACTCCGTAGCATAAAGGAGCACTTTGAACCTTTTTATAATGTCGTGTGACTGGCGCATTCTAGCACCCCGAGCACGCAATTCAAGCTTTTACAGCTACCATTGCCTTCCCCGCCTTTCTAGGCAGTCATGGGTTCCAACTGCCATTCGTCACTCACGAATCAGCGACGCAATGAAAGATGTTAACCAAGGCGTCCGGGGTTTAAAAGATAACCATCATGCAGAAGGTTACAGGAATGCGATCGTTGTGTAGACGAAGGAGAATGGCCATAATTGGTCATGCTCGTAGTGATTGGAATTCCATCATAATATTGCGACCTGCAGTCGCAACAAAACTTTTTTTCCCCAAAAAAGTCCGATTTCCATCCTCATTTCCTCGTTGGTGTTATTCGGTTGACTACGTGAGGGTTGTGCGCAGAGTATTCAAGACCTTTAACCGCTTGATCAAAGCTGTTTCAACACTCGAATATCTCAGATTGGATCTACGGAATACTAAGGTGATTAACTTACATGTTATGAACTCCAGCAAAAAAAAAAGGCTTAGAATCTTACGCAGATGACATAGGCGAATGAAAATTAAGTCGAGACCTGCTACATCACATATTAACAATTAAGGGGAGAGGCTGGTGAATATTAAAATACTTCGTGAGTCACCACTTGTCCAGAACTTTGTGGCTATAATTGCATCGCAACATGAGGGTTTTCATTCATATTCTCCTTGAGCATGTCAGAGCAGAATCTGCGCGGGAGTCTTTCTTGAACATTTCAAAACATATTCTGTGCAGACTTCTGACCATACCACCTCTTCAAATTGTCGCTAGAGTCACACGCAGATGAGTCAGGTAGAAAGTCTGACATCTTGATCCCGTCTACATGATCCTCCTCTTCGGGCCACTGTACTATCAGGTTCTTACACCTATTCTCAAGCAAATCCTTAGCTGTACCCCAACTAAATCTACATTCTGGGCCCCAGCCAAATATTGGATGCATATTACTTTTCATCCAAGTCAAACACCTTGCATCGGAGGGATATCCGCTTCCCCAACCTCCAGAAATCGAAATTGTAGCGCATGTCATTTTGTAAGACGCGTCCAAGGCAAGATCCCTCGTAACTTTGGCGCAGACAGACGCTGCCGAGACACAAGGAAATATGCTATCTGCTTTTTTGGCGACTGTGATCTTCTTTGTTGGGAAAATCTTTTCCAGCTTCCGCTGGTATGCGTCTGGTTTGCCGACTGTGTCAACGAAGATATGTGCCACATTTATACCCTGTGTAAGTACAGATCTGATTAGGTCTATCGTGGCATCCATAGCTTGCGCATTCAGATTATATACCGCGGTCCTCCTAAGCATACCCGCAGATATGTCTCGCGCGGAAATAACACGAGTTGCCCAGCCACAATGCTGATAAAGATCATTTCCCGGAGTGCACAACTGTTGCATAAGGGAGGCGCGAAATTTAGAGGACAGGACTTTTGAGTCATCAAAGTGATGGGTTTCGTCGAGAAGGCTGTTGTGGTATTGTAAAGGGAGATAGAAGAGCGCATAAACCATCGAGCCTAAGCCTGGTAAGCGTTACTTTGTTCCGGATGTTCAGGACAGGAAATGTCGTGATACCTAGCACAGGACCGCGTCCTGCTTCATCTATACCCAAAACGCACTCGGTGCCTATGTTTTGTCGGAGGGATACGGGCACATCAGAGAAATATGTGTAGCTGTCGCCACATTTTATGTTGTTCAGCATCACTGATGGTGGTGTAAAAGTCCCATCCACATCAAGTGATCCCATGATGCACCACTTCTATTTTTTTGGTTGTTATTGTAGTTACATTACAAGGACGTTTCTTTAACCACATCAACTGAACGCGGTTGCGTTAGTCGTAGGATGCAGACACAAAGCGATATCGGAGACACGCAACTTCAACTCGAAACCATTGTACACAATAGGGAATGTTCTCCCAGATCTGTCAAGCAATGCTAAAGTGCGAGCCACTTTGGACCGGATGAGCTTCCTAGAGCGAGGAAGGGGTCTGTTAGTGTCAAGGCTGATGTGGGCAGAATATATAGAGAAGGTTGAGAATATGTTCATAACTTGGGATCGTCTTCTTTAGGAGCGAGAGTATTTATGTGTGACTAAAGTGATAAACTAGATAAACTAGTCAATTTAAACTGCACTTTTTCAACTCATTTCGAACTAGAGTCTCATACAGACCCTTTCCCCATGGGTAATTATTTTGCTCAGGGTGAACAAATTGAGCAAAAGGAGCGTAATAAGCGCAAAGGCTCCGCTCAGCGGCCAAGACCAATCCAATCTGTTCATCCTGCTCATTCTGCCGCGGATGGGTGAAATGAGCAGAATGAGCCCTCAACCAATTTCTACTGGCCGGGCAAATCCATCAAGCATGTTATTGATCCATAACACTCCTGCGCATAGAGTCTGAGAACTGTCATTGTTGTACACTTGCTTCAGTTGCAAGTGCCTCGCGTCCATATCCTCGAAAAGATTCGACCTCTTTTTTGCTTGAGGTCCTCTGCAATACTTTCTGGAACAGACTGCATTCATCTGACCCCCGCTGCCCACGTGTGTTTTATGGTGAAAGGTCTCCCCGGTTCCTACTTTAAAAGGGATTTTGAAATCTGTCATCGTCTAAAACCTGCCAGGATAGGAAATAAAGAATGCGCGTATCTAAGCTATTTGAGTTGTATAAACAAAATCCGCTCTAAACCCGAGAACAAGCTTAAGACTTTGCACGCAGAAGTAAAGATAACCACTATCAAGTGCGAAATAAAAGTGTATTCCGCACTTAGCGATTGATTCATTTGGCTGTGCTTTTCAATTTTCTTATAATAGCCTGTCATTGATGATTGTGAAGTCTCCATTTATCTCACTATTGGCTATATGTACACGCTCTGAAACTCTGTGCCTGCGATGTAGCAATGACTTAGCTATGAAACTCTCAAGTCGTCGTTTTCTCGAAATTTTAACTCATCAGTTGAACCAATGCTCCTCTCTGCTCGTCATTCAGTCTCTGCTGAACGTAGTCGCTGATTCTCCCACCAGTTTTGACTTCAGCCTCTTTTAATTGTCGTCCAACCCACGTTTTGACATCTGCCACTTGAGCGAATTGATCCCTAGGAGGCTTTTTGCATGTATTGAGTTGTGTGAAGCCAACACCAAAGCTCAAGTCATCAACATCCTGGTCCACTATCATATCTTCGGCGACCGATACAACTGGTGGGCTTACTAACATCTTAAGTAGAGCTTCACAAGTTAGAGCCCATCCCTTTGGATAACGCTCAACAAAGGCTTGTGCATCCGTAAGGGAAACAGTGAGGGATATGACGGCAGTTTTACGGTCCAGTGGCCGTGTCAATTTCTGCGTATCTGGCAGAATAATCTGGAGGTATAGTGGGCGGAAGACACTGTATCGTGTTAGGCCTAGGACTGTTCAGCTCACCAATTTGAACTTACTCTTGCTGAACCTCATCACAGACACCAACAAAGAAGTCTGTGCCAAAGCCCTTATCTAGTTGAGCTGAGATAAGGTGATAGAATCGGGTGAAGCGAATACCGAAGGCCTCAGTTTTAGAATTCGAAAGTCGGCCAAGCATTAGTTGAATTATGGTCGTGAAATAGTTCTTGATTGCAACGAATGGAAAGTGTGTAACTACAGACTCGACAAGATCGAATCCATATGATTCCTGAGACTTTGTCGCGATGAGTTTTTGGAAAATACCGAGGATGGCTTCAATCTGATTATTTTCTGTAATCACTTGGACTCCTCGAGGTATTATGGCCAATAGCAAGCGAACTAGAGCTGGAACATTGCCTTTTGACTCCCATAAGGTGGGGAGAAGGATTGGTTGGATCAATTGTTGGTAGTAGGTTGAAAGTGTGCCAGAAGGATTCGCCTCCAGAAGGGCTGCGAAGAGCTGAAATATGTACGGCTGAAACTCCTGGACATCTGCTTGGAGAATTGCTGCAAATGGATCGTAAAGAGAATTCTCTAGTTTCTCAGGATTAGAAGGGGCAGCAAAGCGAATAAGAGCTCCAATGCCCTCGAAATGATAGTAGTAAAACCTTGGATTGGAAGGATTGTGGCGTATGACCATTGTAATGTTGTTAAAATTACGTATGACCATGTCCATAATGGGAACGACTCCATCACGAATGACAATGAGAACACGCATCACACAACGCATGAGAAATTCATTCTCTTGAATCTTTTCAGGAGCCGAGTCCTTTTGAATAAGCTTAAAAAGATGCTGTAATAATTGGCTTGCGACAGCAGTAACTTGGTTCCTCGGTATTACGGGTTGCTTGTTCTCAGTAGTCAGATATAAAACGCGTTCGACAGCAATCGCAGCATATGTGTAGATCACATAATTTGAATTGTTGAGGTGTTGTACGAGCAACGGGAAGGCCTCCTGCCATTGATCCGCCGTAAATTGTGATCTAAAGTCGTGGACAAATTTGATAGCATCAACTTGAAGAATGTAGTGGATGTCTGAACTCGTGAGATCGGCCGAGACATGCTTTTGGAAAAAGTCAAGGACATTAACGAAGGCGTTGAGAGTTTTGTAATCTGCTGAGGTCGTAGCAACCCTGCTCCTAGCTATTGAGGAGAAGAGGTAAACAGCAGTGTCCTTCGACTTCCAGTTCAACGCTTTGTTCTTCGAATAGTCCTGCAAATAGTGCTCGACATATCGTTGCACTACCGTGGTCGTAAGTTGTTCGAATTGTTCCATCAACTGCCGCAGGAAGTCTGTGGCGGCGCGTCGTCGGGTTTCATTGTCAGAGCCCTCAAGATCTCGACGAATAAATTCCATGGGCTCATCTTCGAACATCTCAACATCGGATTCGCGCAAGGCCAGGTTCGGCAATATGACTTTCTCAATGACCTTATTCAAAATAACTTCGTTATTAAATGCCTGTGCATGATGTGTGATCTTGGCGATTGAGGTAAGAAACTGTAGCGCCTTGCTAACAAGAATGTCATATTTGGTCTCGTGGCCGATCGAAGTCAAAAGCTGCCATGAGCTACTACTGAATTGTTGCAAATAAGGACCAAAGGCATCCTCATACTTTTGAGTGTACAGAGACAGCGCCTCAAAAATGCCAGCTTTTACAAACTCGAGCAACCCTGACTCCGATTCGTCGTCTGTGTGCAGCAGGGGATTCTCATAGGCCAAGTACTTATGCAAAAGAGCACTGATGCCCTGGAGATTGTCCTCGAAGATCGGAGGTAGATCTTGACACGACAAGTCATAGAAGAGCTTAATTATTGTGTTGAGCGAAGCGAAGTCTTGTAATAGCGCAGCTTTGTCATTGTGATGAGATGCGATGGCAGCATCCGTGTTCTGAAGAACAACCAAAAATGGCTGACCAAATTTGCTGAGTACGTGATTGATTTCGGTGTAGAGTTCGTCAGACCTAAACAAAGGGCGCCACCGTTTGAAAATCGAGTGTGCGACTTGAAGCACGCCGTTGTTTACCAGCGCATTGTCCGTAGTCAAGCGAGATACGAGGTCATCGATCAGGGTATCCCATCGTTCCCAAAAGTCGCTCTCAGCTATCAAACTTATGGTTTCTCCGAGCTGCACTTGTATGCTGGGCTGGACAGATGTCATAAGACCGATCAACTCTGTCTTGATCGCCACCACCTCATTCTGCGGAAGCTTGTGACTGCCCTGCGCGTCGGTCCAGTTGCGCCGGATAAAGTTCTTGAACGCAAGAGCACTTGCCAATCTCACGGCGGGAGGGTATGAGTCGACGGCGACAATGTGTAGGAGGGAGAGCGAGAAATTTGGTTTCTGCTCTTCATCACGCAATGCTGATTCAGCTGAACAAGGAGAGTTAGCTGGTGCCGTGCGTTCAGAAAAACATTTGCACTGCCAGTCCTTGAGAAGACTAGCACGTAGCTACAACACGTACCGGATTTTGTCTGGGTAGGATCCTGACTAGCTTGCAGCAAGTGCGCGATGACGGAAGGGTCTGCTGTTGCCATATCTACTGCCACAACAGCCGGTGTGCGTTCGTAAAGATTCGTGATGGTGGCACGATATTAGAAGAAAATGGTGTCAGTCGCGGAAAGAAGGTTGCCGGTCAGGTCGAGTGAGGCAGAAACAAAATGGCACGCACAGACAATATTTATATTGAGGAACAGAATACATATGCAACCTTAGTTAACTTGGGCAGATTTAGCCAAGGTGGCCCGCTTATAAAGAACTCGCCAACATGGGCTTCCCAACGGTTCCGATATGGTGCCCGCGCAAGGTAACGAAGGCCGCAATGTCGTAGATGTTGACCTAGTCGCCCTACCGTGACTTACATCGAGACACTTATTGTCGTCGAATCCTCGATGGAACCGAGCGGAATTTGAGAAAGTGCACGTGGGTCATTGGAAAAAAAACTAACCGAAAGTCGCACTAGGCCGAACTGAGGTCCTACATGAATTGAGTCTCATAGCAGAGCTCAAAGGCCAGCATCATCTTCCTTTTTTCGTCTTCGTCTTCATTGTCATCGTCCTTCTCTCCCTCGTGCTTGCCGCTTTGTCTGCCTCTAACTTTGTAGTCTCATCTGGATTCGTATCTCACATCTTGAGTGTCGTGAAAAGCGCACATGCCTTGATTCAAGATTCTCACGCCCCTCTTACATTTTGCCGCTTTTGACTATCTCTATGAACGTCGCACATTTCCCGTCTCATCTTATGTTGAACCGTAGCTTATGGTGAGTGAAAGTCCTGCCTGGAACTCTATTCGCTCCCTCCTTACTGGACTTCGAATAAGAGAGGTTGCCCCATTATCACTCACGCTTCCTGCCGTCACAATTTGCTTTGACCAGTGTCGTCAGTTCGACCGGTGCACTTCTCCCTTAAGGGTCTACATCCTGAGAGAAGTAGAACTGAGTTATGGCTTCGCAGGAGGACGTCCTCGTGCACTCGATGACCTCTAGTCACCAGCTCAGTGGACTGTTGGGAAGCTTATAATCTATGTGCTGATTGCTACGAAGACCAGGAAAGATACGACCAAGTCTCCCGAATGCCGCTATCCCGAGAAGATGAATGGGCACAAACACCGGATAGACGATCTTCGGCCGCTCATATCCTGACTGCCTTCCGTAACCTGACCTCAACTGGCCGTCTAAAGCCATCCTCCCAGACCTCCATTTTGCAACCGACCATTGCTCCAAGCTCGAACAGCAATTTCGCAGAGCAAGGGAATGCCACAATAAATCAGGAAACACAGTCTGGAAACGAGCCTTTTCCTACAACCAGCTCTCCGGAGAGCAATGACGCAGCTTTGGCTGCCATTCCATCTAATGTGGTTGGTCCGCCTTCAGAGCTCACAAAACTTCTGCGGCAGTTGTCACGTAGTCGACCCCAGCCGGAAAGGATTAACGCAGCTCTCCAGCTCAGGTTAGCACTCCATCACAACAACGTCGGAAGTCCGCTTGCAATATGGACACTTGGGCAAGATTTATTATTACACACCTCGGATGAGGCTTTAATGGCCGGCATGACCTTACTCCTTGGTTGTGCAAGCTCTCGTAAATTGACCTCGAATGAGAGACATATTTTCTTTGACTCACTTCGCGAGCTATCTGTCCGGGATAATCATGTGGATCTACACGTGCAGATTCTCAAAGCCTTGACTTGCGGCGGCAGAAACATTGATTCAGTTGAGCGCGATGTCTTGTCCGTTGCCGCAAAAACTTTAAAGACGTGCTTTGATGTCGTTGACGGCGAGCGCCGGGCAAAAAGAACTAATGGCACAAGCCAAGAAGGCACCTTGAATGATATTTTCCGGCTCATCATATCTGTTATCAAGTTCAATGCAAAGATGCTCTGCGAGGACCAGCTGGAAATTGTTGTTCGCGCGGTTTATTCAATATGCCAGACAACCACGGCTCCTCGCGATGTAGACAACTCTATCGATGTGGTCGTGGCGTTACTCACCTTCACACAACTTCCTTCCGCATCCTTTCGAGACTGCCTGGAACTTCTTGCTGATGTCTACCGTCAAGTCAAACCTCTTCAGAGTCGCTCGTGGGATGTTGTTGCTGACATATTTACTTCGCATCTTGGGAATCAAGCGATCATCACCTATCTGGAAATTGTACAAGATGGTGGGGTAAACCATAAGAGAATGATCTGTCGAGGGGCGTTTCGCCTTTTAGCTCATCTTTTGGAAAAAAATGGTGCGTATGGATTGCCGCAGATTCACATCGCAACCCTTCTTTCGGCAGCAGATCAAGGCTTGCAATATGAGGACAAATTCTTGGCCGAGGACATTTTGAGACACATTAAGGAGCTTCTATTTCAATCTGATTTGCAAGCTCTACTTCTGGAGGAACCTGAATGGGAGACGCTTGTTGGTTGCATTAACAAGTCTGCCGATATACTCGCCCTTGACACTTTTCGTGGTCCATTGCCATTAACTGACACGCACAATTTCCGTAGCGAGTCCGCGTCTTGTTGTGAGGGGATAGGTCAATCTAGTAACCAGAATGGGCGGAGGCGCAAAGAAATTGTAGACGTTGCTGTTGCCTGTCGAAACTTGCAGGACATCGTCTCAAAGTTGGCAACAATTTTCAACCGCCTTGACGTTCAGCAGAAGGATTCGGTCATTTCTTTGCTTATACAACTCGGAACACGGCTGAGCAATACAGCAGCAGAGCTTCTCATTACCTATTGTGCGAACGAAGGCCTTATTCTACCAGTGAGTCCGAGCTGGGAGGAAACATGTCGGAAACTCGTCGTCAACTTTCTCCACGATTTCAGTCGGCCTACTTACCTACGCACTTTGGTCATCGACGTTCTTAAGCAAGCGTGGAGCACCATTGAGCTGGTGTCGGCTGATTCTGCATCCCAACTGGCGATGGTGATTCTTCAAAGGATGGCGATGGAAATAGACGGCGTCGTTCTTGATTCTCTCGCTGACTTTAGTGCTGCGGTCGTAGAACGAGCAGACATTGATCTATTTCTGTCAATCTTGACAATATTTCGTATCACTGTTTTCCAACGACGATCAGGACCCCCCAAAGCAGTCAACTTGTTACCCAGCATTAGCTTTCCTACTGGACTCCCAGCACAGAATTATCCCTCATTATGCCGAACTGCGGTCAAGCATGTCATTCGCATGTTCATCCACAATGTTAACAACTCGGCTCGTAAGACTGAAGCTTTATTCGCCTTTGTTCTCAAGGTTGCTTCAAGTCAAGATTGCAGCATTGATGCTCGCATCTGCGCGCTCAAACTTCTGTTTCGGCTACGTGCCTCCAGCAACCATGCAATTTATATTAAGGCTCTCTCAGAATCTGAACGAATAGCTGCAGTCTTGTGCCGTACAGCCGAAAGTGCAACTCCTATGGAGCACGTGGATCAAGTATCAACAATTGACACACGTGATGTGGAAGGTGGCTCGGGCAGCAATGCGTCAAACCATACGACAATTAAGCAGAGGAATGGCGAAGCCAGGAAGCCAGTGCCACCACTGTGGTTTTATCCTGGCCCAAAAGGGCTTCCTGAAGAACCAACTGGGGAAGCTAGTATCTTTGTCTATTCCTACCACGATTCTACTACGGGAATGAACCGAGAAGAAACAGTCGTTCTCAAGGTTGCATACTGGCTGGAAACTGTCATCAGCTTATTACAGCAACCCGATACTGATTGGGAGATCTATTCTTACCTCATCGTACATCTTGGAGCACAACTCCTAAATCGAAGTCTTTTTCGCGATTGCGTACCGCAGCTTCGGTTGTTAAGGAATGTCTTGTGCGACCAACTTCGCGCCTCCACTTTCCATGAACCACCGAATCATACGTCTTTGAAGAAGGCAGACGTTGCAGTCTGCCTCTTTCATATTTTGACCATACTCATCGGGTACCACAATCACTTCGCACGAAGTGAGGAAGACGAGCTCGTTCGAACCTTTATACTGGGCATGGGCTCTTGGGACCGGACCTCCAAATGGTGCATCCACGCCCTCTCTGTATGCTGCCATGAATTACCGCTCTCTGTAAGCAAGATGCTCGACAGTATTATACAAAAAATGTCCCAGATCATCACGCAGCAATATGTTGCTGTGCACATCCTTGAGTTCCTGGTCATGCTTGCACGTCTACCTGATCTATACAAAAATTTTCGCGAGGACGAGTACAAGATGGTTTTTGGTGTCAGCTTTCGCTACCTACAATATGTACGGGAAAAACAAGGGCGGGATCTCGAAAAGGGAGATCGTTTAACTTCTGCAAGGCAGAGCAAAATGCAGATGCGGCACAGTGATAGCTTTCGAGAACTCCGTTTACTCGAAGACACCGATACTAGGTCCAAGGCACGTAGCAACAGCGAGGATATCCCTCAGTATGTCTATGCATTGGCCTTTCATGTCATCACCTTCTGGTTTATGAATTTGCGGCTAGACGACCGACCAATGTATATGCCGTGGATTGCAAAGAATTTGACTTACCAGTCATTAGATGGAAAATCTTTCATCGAAGATCAAGGCCTTGTGACCATTGACATGATGGAAAAAGTCGCATACACTGATCGTGATGAAACAGCTTATGATGAACATTTTGCTAAGGAAACGGATGGTGAGGTGACGCAACGCACCTGGATCGTGGGTTTTAGTCTTTTGACTGTTGCTACCGCTGGCCGTACAGGAGTTTCGCAAATAACCAGGCGCAGGCCATCTGGTACCAGATATTCTGTGTTCCGACCATCTCTCACAAGTCCTCCGCGCCACCACGCTCCACTTACTACCGGTCTTGCTGCGGATGCATTTTATTCTTCCTCCTTCACTGGAGTGTTACCGGAGGATATCGTGCAGGAATTCTACTCATCGTACAGCCTCCTCGATACCACTTTGCCCAGACCAATACTCCTCCCTCAGGATGATACTGTAACCCGAGCTATCAGCAACTTTGATCGCAATTCTACAGTCGATGGACATAAAGTCGGAGTAATTTACATCGGCGAAGGACAGAGACTGGAAGCGGCAATCTTGAGCAACACACACGGTTCTGCTGATTATACTGCCTTTATCAGCAGACTCGGGGTCTTAACACGCCTACGAAACGCCGGGTTCAACACTCAGGGGCTAGACCGTACTGAGGATTCTGATGGTCCATTTACCTATTGCTGGCGTGATCGCGCTACAGAGATTGTGTTTCACATCACTACAATGATGCCGACTAACACCGATCATGACCCACAGTGCGTCAAAAAGAAGAGTCACATTGGCAATGACTTCGTCAACATAGTATGGAACGAGTCAGGGCAGGATTTTCAGTTTGATACCTTTCCTTCTGCGTTCAACTATGTTTATATTGTGATTACACCCGAGTCCCAACCTTCCTTTACGTTTTCATCAGATGAAGCACATCCGCAGGATCATTTTTACAAGGTACAAGTCCTATCTGCGCGTGGTTTTCCGGAGATATCACCTGCAGCGGAATCGAAATTGCTCAGTGTCAAAGCTTTGCCAGACTTTGTCAGGCTGCTAGCACTCAATGCATCAGTGTTCAGCCTTGTCTGGCAAAATCGTGAAGGTGGAGAACATTTCTCGCCGTGGCGCAATCGCCTCAGAGAAATCAAGCGCTTGAGAGAAAAGTACACGAACTCGGAAGGGCGATCCTCATATACTAATCCAAGTCCAGCCACAGGCGCAAAAGTCATTCCACCATCAACGATTGAGAAAACGCATATTGGGTCACTAAGTGGAGCTGCGCTGAGCTCCCCACTAACAGGTAGAGAGCGCGGAGGAAGCGCCCTCAGCCATCGAATTTCGCTAGCTACTTTCTCTGGTAGTGAGGACTTGTGCAGGTCTAGCATAACCACAAGCTCCACCGACGACCGAGTAGCTCCCGAATTTGACCATTGAACATGTCTCCACTGTGTAGGTTCTCGGTATCATGAGTTGAATGCTTCGGGGCGGCGATGACGGAGATTTGGGTTTGTTTTAAATTTCCGCCCCAACTACGTAGATACCCCACCCCATTTTACGAATGGTATGGATGAAATTGAGATGAGATTCTTCCCAATTGATTGTGTTGCTGGCAAGGAATTTACAAATTCTCATTTCCCGAACAGTCCTAGTCTACACTAAACAGAAACGTCATAGTTATGGGTTCAGTCCCTCATGTGCAGCCAGCTTGTGAAAACCCTTTACATACAGAAGACGTATACGATTTCGACAATGGCGAAAGATAGGTGTGAAAGAAGCCGTACAGGCTAACTAATTTGTGAGACTTACATTTCAACAATAACTACTCCTCTTATACGTTGTGGTTGTGTTATGAAAGAATTCGAGCTTGGGCCAACTCAGACGTACTAGCCAGTCAGGGAAATCTCAGTTTGTTCACGCCACTGGTTTGCAAGTCCTCCATTCTCCTGCCGATTCCGATCTACAAGAGATAACAATGGCTATACAGTGCTGAAACGACATAGATCATGCGCAAACACCCCATAATTTGCCTCATATTTCAATTCATTATTGGCGTTCCGGCCAATACGGAGAAGACTGTTTTCAAATTCCCCCAAGCTGTTCCTCCACCAACGCAGCTGCCCACACCTCTGTGCCTTCCTGTGCTTACTCCAAGGTTGTCTGCTATATACCGACGATTGACTGTGTCTCCTCCTGCACATGTTGAGTCTTTGCAAGATAGGATTAGGGAGGACTGGTATCTGCTCCACGAACTTCAGATTGGCCATCGTTACGAGGTCCGTGTGTGCTCAGTAGCCACTGTAAGCACTGCTACTACCCTGAAATCACAACAGGCAAAGTTCATTAACCCTCACGTGGCAGCAGCCGACCAAATTTTGGCTTGATATCTTCAGCTTTTCCGAGGTTGCAGGCTCTTCAGAACTTATCTCTTCTCTGACCAAATATTCCGAGCGCTCACAGAAAGAAATATGCTCTAACATATTCAGCGCTATTGAGAACGAGCCAGTATTGTTCCTTCGCCTGCGCAGCACCTCCGACTTCGTTGCAGCCGAACGTACACTGATGCAGCATCCGCTCGACGTAGGTGCGGACATTATCCTCGACTCTTACCTGCTAGATATCCTTCCTCAGTCGTTGATACCAACCGTTGCTTTGACCTTTGTAATTGCGATATACGCGTGGTTCTTATCTGGCATGACATGGCGTACGCTACAAGACATAGTGATTGCGAGACGAAGTAAATCTCACTTGGAATGACGCAGTCAGTCGACGAAACAGCAATACAATACCTTCGCGAACCCAAGAGGTGATTGGTTGGGCTAATAGAAAGTGGTCTTGACTGAGATTATGAAACATACGGGGCAATCTTCTCGATCTTACAAATTTCCTGACGGAAGAAACATGGCATCGCGACCAAGTATTCTCACTCTTCCGCTTGATTTGCAACTTATGATATTGGATCACCTGTCCTGGAATGACTATGTTGCTCTCGCTTTGGCTGGCTACGATGCCCTCCAATATCGACATGCAAATCGATTTCCTCAAATTACCCGTCTGAGACTACGCATTATTCGCTCACCTCCTGCCTTCGGCAGCGACCCCTTATTATCATTACCTAACGAAATGATCGAACACATTGCTGGCTTCATTGATAGAAGGACGCTAATGAGTTGGGTATTTGCACACTATCCAACCCTCGCAGCTCGCCATCTTGTTGCACCATTGACAACAGCGACTTTGACCCAGCTCAATCTCTCTTGGGTAAGACGGCGCGAGAACTCTGAAGAAGGCTCCGCTAAACAAGTTGGAAAACAGTTTCAAGATAACATTCACTATTTCTCAAAGTAAACAGCTCTTGATTTTAGGCCGAAGACCCTCAGTAAATAGGAAACGGCCAGTCTGTGATAGCTTCTATGTGATGAGACAATGACGAGAGGCATCGTCATGGATTTTGTTCATCTATTTTTTCGTGATGTCAAGTACTTCGATTAGCAATCAGTCATACTGAATTTAGCATTGTTGGTGCATTAACTTTGTTGACTACCGCTGATCTGCAGGCGAGTGGTGTATCAAATCACTTTAAAAGCCGGGCGAGATTTTCCAATCGTGAATGAAGTTGGGCTGACGAAGTATCTGAACAAAGGCTTCGCTTCAAATCGTTTCGAGGCAATAGCACAGCTGTGAGCAAAGAGGACAAAGATCTTGTATGACGCTGTCAAACTAAGAATTCGCTTACGATGCAGGTTCACAATGACTTCTCTCCAGACAATATCACTTATTGGTCGGATTTAGGTCAAGGCAGCCTTACAGGAGTACTTCTGTGAAAATGGACGACACATCGCAGGGCATCCCGAGAGGGGTGGGGGGGGGGCGCTCCTCGAACTTCAAAAATCTGAATGATAATGAGTTTTACGAGATTGCGCTTTAGTACGGAGAACATTGCATCTAGAAACATCTCGTCTTCACCGCCTAAACTTCGAATTCCATTGAGTAACAACAAATCCATCGTTCGGCACACGCTCCGCGACTGTAGAGATGGCTAAGCACGGTAATGAGCCGGAAGAGAGTGATCAACCTTGCGAGACCGGAGAGTTGAGCGATACCTCGCTCTTGATTCGTCAGCCTTGTGGCCTGCGTATGCATGTTTATTCGGTCCCTTTTGAATGTGCCTAGCATTCGGAAAAACCAGTTATTACTGTAGCGTTCACGATATGCTCGATAATACAATTTCGTAGCCTTATCACCCCGTCCTTCGGCTCACTATAGGAGGGATGGTAAACATCAGCCGGTACATTCTGTGTCCGGCGCGGCGATGGGCTCTTCAGAGGGGGCCAAGGGATAACGAGGAGAGGAGGACTCCGGGTCTGCTGAGCACGCAAAGCTTTTTTTTTTTCAGACCTAAAAATGAACCGTGAAAGACGATAGTCAGCACCGCAGTTGTGCAAGATAAGAGGCGTGCTCAGGGTGCTGGATGACAGCAAACATTTTTCGCGACTATCTGCCCCGCACCAATCAACGAAGGTTGAAGTGATGGACGTGGGCGGCGGCGCCCACGAGCTCGCAATGTGGCATGGGCTTGTCAAGCAGACTAATGAGCAATGATCCAAACCATTACTGAAATCTCGCCCAAGGGAAGGTTTCAAACAGGGAACCCTGGAGCCCGAGCTAGGCCTAGCTTCTTGCGTTTTGCTTCCTGCAGGACTCTGCAGATGTGGGGGAACACTTTCTTTTCCCTCTGCCTCGTTGCGCTGTCGGAGAGAAGCATTATATTGACAAAGCAGAAGAGGCTATTGGGACCGCGCAGATCCCTCAGAAGCTATTGAACCAATGCTTCTTGGCTCCGATCCCTTCTTTAGTGCAGGTGCCATCTCGACACGCGAAAGTTTACGCTAGGTCCGCGAGCAGTGTAGCCAGCAGACGTCGACAAGAACGTGAGCACTCCGTTGACGCATGGCTCAGTGGGTAGTGGCAAGCGTTAAGTCTGAAAGGCCAGGCTGCGAGGAGTCGACGGTGGCAAGTGGGCGGATGCAACAAGCTTTGGGAGAGGAGCGAGCAGAAGGGAGCGAGCAGCGGCAAGTGAGAAGGGCACGACGGATGGATGGCTCGTGGGCCTGTTTTCGCACCAGCTGGCCTAGATCAAGTGACAGAAAAAGACCCCACTCAAAAGCTCCGAAAAAAAAGTCCTCAAAAGGTCGTCCTCGTCCCGTTCGACGATCAGATCACGGCCTCGGTCTCAATAATCTCTTTCAACCTCTTCCCGCACTCGATTGCTTCCACGACCCCATTCTTCATCTCTGCGTGAGCCTGCCAGTCACTGTACGAACCTGTGTTGTAAGTCTTCCACTTTTATTCATCTGCCTCGCCATCCTTCGTCGTCCAGCCATCGATTTAAATTGCCCTGACATGATTGGCGCATTCCTTATCAAAAGTTGCCGTGCGGTTGCAGTTCAAATCAAGTTGTGTTTTCACTGTGACGTACGCGCTGTGGTCACAAAGGACATCATTCTCACCTCCATCACATGCAATAATCGAGAACTTTGCCTTGCCGCTGGATGTCACTCACCGCGGCGAACAACCTAGATATCCAGCCTATTGCTTTCTTTTTGCTGCTTTCCCGCTCTACCGCCATTCCCACTCCCGTTGTACTTCTGATCCTCTGGGAGAATTGGCATTGGCCTTGCAAACTCATTCGAGCGTTGCTGAGACGACACACTGATTCTTTCTTTTTTCTCTGCTAGTGTCATTGACTTTGCGAAATTCACTCCTTCCTCGCACAGCCTGTCATAGGACTCACTCAAGCGAGCAATATTTCCAACCGATACTCCGCCAGAGTCGCATCCTATAGCCCCCAATCAAGCGATTTGCCTCGGCGACCGCGCCGAAAGAATGGTACAAGTCGCGTTTGCCGACAGCAACAGCATCCAAGTGAGTGACAATGGGGAGGAGGAGCTGCCCTTCAGCGTCTTCCCTTACCAGGAGACATCGGAAAACAAATCATGGGCCGGCACACTCCCTCTCAAGCAGGCTCTGTACGACCCTAGCCTAGAGAAGGATGCTTGCGGTGTTGGATTCGCTGCGTAAGTTGCTCAACCCCAATTGTGGTCCTTGAACTAAGTGCGTTGCAGACACATAAAGGGCAACCCGAGCCACAAGATCGTGACAGATGCGCGCAGCCTTTTGTGCAACATGACACACCGAGGCGCCGTTGGTTCCGATGCTCGGGACGGAGATGGAGCAGGTGTAATGACCAGCATTCCTCACAAGTTCTTTTTAAAGAATTTTGAGCGTGAGCAGAACATCAAACTTCCAAATATGGGACAGTATGCAGCTGGCAACCTGTTTTTTAAGCCTGATGAGTCGGTTTTGAAACAAACAATCGACACCTTCGCCAGCGTGGCCGATGAACTTGATCTTCGTGTGCTAGGCTGGCGAGAGGTTCCTAGAGATTCTACTTTGCTAGGTCCTGCCGCTGCTTCACGCGAACCCATCATCCTTCAACCTTTCGTTGTCCTCAAGTCCGCATATGGTGATTCAAATGAACCAAAGTCGACTTTTGCCGAAGACTTTGATGAAGCTTATTTTGAAAGACAACTCTACCTTCTACGCAAGCGAGCAACACACGTCATTGGTTTGCAAAATTGGTTTTACCTGTGCTCGTTGAGCAATAAGAACATCGTCTACAAAGGCCAACTTTCTCCTGTTCAGGTCTATGAGTATTACCATGACTTGGTAAACGTAGACTATGAGGCACATTTCGCACTGGTTCATTCACGATTCTCCACCAACACCTTTCCGAGCTGGGATCGTGCTCAACCTCTACGCTGGGCTGCCCACAACGGTGAAATAAACACTTTACGTGGCAACAAGAACTGGATGAGAGCCAGAGAAGGCGTGTTGAAGTCAAAGCTTTTTGGAAATGAACTCGACCTTTTGTATCCCATCATTGAGGACGGTGGGTCGGACTCTGCTGCATTTGACAACGTCCTGGAACTGCTTACCATTAACGGCGTGCTTTCTTTACCCGAAGCTGTCATGTTGATGGTACCAGAGGCTTGGCAAGGTAATCGCTCAATGGATCCCGCAAAGCAAGCTTTCTATGAGTGGGCAGCATGCATGATGGAGCCTTGGGATGGTCCAGCCTTATTCACATTTTCGGACGGGCGTTACTGTGGCGCCAACCTCGACCGCAACGGTCTGCGCCCTTGTCGATACTATATTACCGATGACGATCGCATCATTTGTGCTTCCGAAGTTGGCACAATTCTCATAGATCCTGAGCGAATCGTACAGAAAGGACGCTTGCAGCCAGGACGAATGTTGTTGGTGGACACTGTTGCTGGCCGCATTGTTGACGATACAGAGTTGAAGCAGACAGTCGCAAGTCGCCATAATTTCCGCGCTTGGATTGACAAGCATTTGCTTTCCCTGCCACAGATTTACAGTGAGCTCGCTGATAGAGGTGTCGATTTGTCATACGCCCTATCTGAAACAAAAGTTCAGGAAGACCCTAGGCTTAAGGCGTTTGGATATTCCCTTGAACAGGTGAGCTTACTCTTGGGGCCCATGGCCGCTGATTCCAAAGAAGCTTTGGGCTCTATGGGTAATGATGCGCCTTTGGCCTGTCTGGCACAACAACCACGTCTTTTATACGAGTATTTCCGGCAGCTGTTCGCCCAGGTCACCAATCCACCCATTGACCCCATCCGTGAGGCAGTGGTCATGTCCTTAGAAGCATATGTGGGTCCTCAAGGCAACTTGCTGGAAATGGACGAAACGCAGTGCGGACGTCTACTTTTGCCCTCACCAATTCTTTCTCTCGAAGAGTTCAGAGCATTGAACACTATTCAGCAGTTGTATCCTGGTTGGAGTGTAAAGGTTATTGACATCACGTTTCCCAAAAGCGAAGGTATTCAAGGATATTTTAATGCTTTGGACCGCATCTGCGACACTGTAGCGGAGGCGATTGAAGAAAATTACAGCATCCTCGTACTTTCGGACCGTGCTACTTCCGCACAACGTGTCGCGGTCTCTACTCTATTAGCCACTGGTATGGTCCATCACTATATGGTCAAAAATCGGTGGCGAGCGAAGGCAGCGCTAATTGTGGAGACTGGCGAGGCACGCGAAGTGCACCACATGTGCGTCTTGGTTGGATACGGCGCCGATGCTATTTGTCCATACTTGGCGATGGAATGCATTCTGAAAATGAAACGCGAAAACCTAATTCGCAAGCCACTTACAGAACAACAGCTAATTGAAAATTACAAACACTCTTGTGACGGAGGTATTCTCAAAGTCATGAGCAAAATGGGTATCTCGACATTACAGTCGTACAAAGGTGCCCAAATTTTCGAGGCACTCGGAATCGATGACTCCGTTGTTGATCGCTGTTTTACAGGCACAGCGACTCGAATCCGAGGTATGACCTTTGAGCTCATTGCGCAGGATGCATTCGCGTTACATGAGAGAGGTTTTCCAACGCATCCCATTGTAGAAGTTCCTGGTCTTGCTGAAACTGGTGAATATCATTGGCGAGATGGTGGTGAGCCTCATGTGAATGATCCAACGGCTATTGCAAACATACAAGATGCGGTTCGCACGAAGAATGACAAATCGTACGAAGCATACTCTCGCGCCGAACTCGAGCGTATCAAAGACTGCACTCTTCGAGGTTTGCTTGACTTCGATTTTGAGCAAAGACCGCCCATTCCTATTGACCAGGTCGAGCCATGGACCGAAATCGTCCGTCGATTCTGTACTGGTGCCATGTCGTATGGATCAATATCAATGGAATCACATTCTACTTTAGCTATAGCAATGAATCGGCTTGGTGGCAAGTCTAACACAGGTGAAGGAGGCGAAGATCCAGAGCGGAGTCTCCGGTTGGAAAATGGTGATACCATGAGGTCGGCCATTAAACAAGTCGCTTCTGGCCGTTTTGGAGTTACCTCAAACTACCTCGCAGATTCTGATGAGCTTCAGATTAAGATGGCACAAGGGGCGAAGCCTGGTGAAGGGGGCGAACTACCGGGTCATAAAGTCTCTGGACCTATCGCAAAGACTCGACATTCTACGCCAGGTGTGGGACTGATCTCGCCTCCACCTCACCATGACATTTACTCTATTGAGGACCTCAAACAGCTCATTTACGATTTGAAGTGCTCAAACCCGCGCGCTCGTGTATCTGTAAAACTTGTCTCCGAGACTGGCGTTGGTATTGTCGCATCTGGTGTAGCCAAAGCTAAAGCTGATCACATCTTGATTTCGGGTCACGACGGTGGCACTGGTGCATCCAGGTGGACCGGAATCAAATATGCAGGCTTACCATGGGAGCTTGGTCTCGCCGAGACACATCAGACGCTTGTCCTGAACGATTTACGTGGTCGAGTTGTCGTCCAAACCGACGGTCAGATCAGAACGGGACGGGATGTTGCAATCGCCTGTCTCCTTGGGGCTGAAGAGTTCGGCTTTGCTACGACGCCTCTCATTGCCATGGGCTGTATTATGATGAGGAAATGCCATCTTAATACATGCCCAGTTGGTATTGCGACCCAAGATCCTGAACTAAGGAAGAAATTCACCGGCACTCCGGAGCACGTGATCAATTTTTTCTATTATGTGTCCAATGAGCTCCGAGCGATCATGGCTAAGCTCGGATTTAGAACTGTCAACGAGATGGTTGGAAGATCTGAGGTTCTACGAGTTAGAGATGACTTACGATCCCCCAAAACAGAGAACATTGATTTGTCTTTGATCTTAACTCCAGCACATACACTTCGACCAGGTGTCGCAACTTATAATGTCCGCAAGCAAGATCACAAGTTGCACCTCCGTCTCGACAACAAGCTCATTGCCGAGTCTGAGCTTGCTCTTGAGAAGGGCCTTCCTACCAGAATCGAATGCGATATTATCAATACTGATCGCGCTCTTGGGGCCACACTTTCATATCAAATATCAAGGCGCTACGGCGAAGCTGGTTTACCAGCAGATACAATTCACGTTAATATCCGAGGTTCTGCCGGTCAGTCGTTCGGCGCATTCTTAGCTCCGGGTGTGACATTGGAACTTGAAGGTGACGCCAATGACTATGTTGGCAAGGGTCTCTCTGGTGGGCGTTTGATCGTCTATCCACCTCGCACTGCCGTTTTTAAAGCTGAAGAAAATATACTAATTGGCAATGTCTGCCTATATGGTGCCACAAGCGGAACCTGCTTTTTCCGAGGTGTTGCGGCCGAAAGATTTGCCGTGCGCAATTCTGGTGTGATAGCTGTTGTCGAAGGTGTTGGTGACCATGGTTGTGAATACATGACTGGCGGTCGTGTGCTCGTACTTGGCCCCACTGGTCGCAATTTCGCTGCTGGCATGTCTGGAGGCATAGCATATGTTCTCGACATGCACCATGACTTCGAGGGCAAAGTCAATCAAGAAATGGTCGAGCTTTCTGGGATCGATGATCCGTCTGAGATTGCATTTGTTCGCGGCTTAATTGAGGACCATCACCATTACACTGGCTCTGAATTGGCTGCTCGCATTCTCCTTGATTTCAGCCGGGCACTTCCACGATTTGTCAAGGTTCTACCAACGGATTACAAGCGTGTTCTTGAGGAAGAGGCGACCAAGGCAGCTGCTGCGAAAAAGAATGAATATTCGCTGCCCATCTTATCCAGCAATGCAGCTCGAACTTTGAACGAGGAATCTAAGTTAAAAGAAAATGACTTGGAACCCAAAGAAGACAAAAAACATCATTTGCTCGACATTGAAGAGAGTGTGAGTGATGTGAAAGCGGAAAAGAAACGCGCTCTGGTCCTTGACAAGACGCGAGGCTTCAAGCTCTACCAACGACGATCTGAGAAATATAGAGATCCGAGAATACGGATCAAGGACTGGGCCGAGTTATCCAAACGCCTTAATCAAGATGAGTTAAAATATCAGACAGCGCGTTGTATGGATTGTGGTGTTCCCTTTTGCCAATCGGAAACCGGATGTCCAATCAGCAACATTATTCCGAAATGGAATGAACTTGTTTTCCAAGGCCAGTGGCGTGATGCACTCAACCGACTGCTGATGACGAACAACTTTCCAGAGTTTACTGGCCGTGTTTGCCCAGCTCCTTGCGAAGGTGCTTGCGTCCTGGGCATCAACGAAGATCCTGTCGGCATCAAATCTGTCGAGTGTGCCATTGTCGACAGGGGTTTCGAAATGGGCTGGATAGTTCCAAATCCTCCAAAGTATCGAAGCGGAAAACGAGTTGCAATCATTGGGTCTGGTCCTGCTGGTCTTGCTGCCGCTGATCAGCTCAACAAGGCTGGTCATATGGTCACAGTCTACGAACGCGCTGATCGCATCGGCGGTCTCCTAATGTACGGCATTCCAAATATGAAGCTTGATAAAAAGATCGTTCAGCGTCGTGTGGACTTAATGGCAGCAGAGGGGGTCAACTTTAAGCCCGGAGTGACGGTTGGTGAGGGAGACGTTACTCTTGAATCACTGCGCTCTTCCAACCATGCCGTCATAGTAGCTACTGGAGCTACCGTTGCTCGGAATCTGCCCATTCCTGGACGTAACTTGGAAGGAATCCATTTCGCAATGGAGTTCTTGCACAAAAATACCAAGTCGCTCCTAGACTCTGGTTTAGAGGATGGTTCATACATATCAGCCAAGGGTAAAAATGTTGTAGTCATTGGTGGCGGTGACACTGGTAATGACTGCATCGGTACTTCAGTTCGTCATGGTGCAAAATCAGTCATCAATTTTGAGCTCCTCCCCCAACCTCCTCCAGAACGAGCCAATGATAATCCTTGGCCGCAGTGGCCTCGTATCTACCGGGTCGACTACGGTCATGCCGAGGTCAAAACACACATGGGCAAAGATCCACGAGAATATTGCATCATGTCGAAAGATTTTGTAGATGACGGCGAAGGCAGAGTCAAGGGGATCAATACCGTACGCGTTGAATGGACAAAGAGCGCAACAGGGGGATGGGATATGAAGCAAGTTGAAGGAAGTGAACAGTTTTTCCCCGCTGATCTTGTTCTTCTGTCAATGGGCTTTCTAGGACCCGAGGAACGTGTTCTCGATGGAAAAATTGAGCTGGACGGACGCAAAAACGTCAAGACTCCGCCTGGACAGTACAGCACGAATTTACCAGGAGTCTTTGCTGCGGGTGACTGTAGACGGGGCCAAAGCTTAATTGTTTGGTATGTCGAAATATTCTAGCTCGTTCTTATCCTGCTAACATGAGACAGGGGTATCAACGAAGGACGTCAATGCGCTCGAGACGTTGATTCGTTTCTCACTGGAGTTGGCTCGCAGCTGCCTGTCACTGGTGGTATTGTGAAGCGACCGCCCTACGAACTCCTTAATAAGATCGAGAACGCCCCTCGTAAGAACCTGATAACCGCGGAAACACAATGATAGATAAGTAGTATTTCCATTCGCAGGAGCTTTATTGTACTTGTACAATCATCAACAAAGTATGTTCCGGTCTTCGATACTTTCGCTTGTGACGGAGCTTCATGACCTGCCGAGCCAACATGCGTCTTATCTATCTTTACTTATGTCATATGCCACTAAGCACCTCTCGACTAGGTTTCGCAATTTCCATAGAGCTTTATTGATATTTCAGTCTAAGCATTCCAACTTCTTCAAGAAAGCACAAATGTCATAACCCCCTTTAGACCTAAACATTACTATATCGACCGCCGCTCAACTGATGAAGTTCAAATTTTACGCGTAGGTAAAGAAAATAACCGATAATCAATATGCACGGTATGGCTTTGTTATAGACCAAGTGCTCTTGTCCTGTTCTGTCTAGAAAATATAGCTACATGCTTAATACTGACGCCGTAATGAAATTCGAGAAAGTATGGGAAAGAACAGACATAAAATCATACATTGTTGTTACACCACTCAATTACTGTATCAGTCGAAATGTTCGTCGAGCCTACCAGTTCCTGTGGACATTCTACGAGACTATCTATAATTGTGCCCTGGTAAAACCTCATAGATCTGGGCTACATGATTGCACGAAACTTCACAACAGAGAGCAGCGGCCAACATTCAGGATTGTCTACCTGCATTGCACCTGCCTCTATAGCGCCAGCGCCAGCCTTATACGTAACACTGTGTATCACAACGAGAAACATTGTCGTCAATAATGATTCAATATTAGTTCTCTACATCAGTGTCAAGCTTGAAAATTTGCAGCAATGTGTGCTCAGCGCACCAGAGCTCACCTTATTATGGCAGTGCACTAAATGCATAGCCTGCGGTTTCTCATCGCTCAGGCTGAGTTGAGAGTACATGGGATCTATTGAATAGACGCTTCGACGTATCCCCATCTGAAGAAAACTCAATGCATGAAAAGAGAAACATAGCTAAAAAAGCATGTCATAAGTCTCACAATCCATTGGATTATAAAGCAGTAAGACGTACCGGACTGCGACAGGAAATGTATAGTATCAAAAGCTCATGCGAGATATCTTTTCTGTGAGCAAAACCTCAATCCACTGTCAGTCTAAGCACATACCAAGTATCACGTGACATAAGCAAACGCTGGCTAGATAAGAGAGGAGAGCCAGGGGTAGGCGACAGGAGAACAACCATACAATCCATCAGTCAAGACAGCATACAATGAACTAAGCAGGTTTACGATCTTACTTATGCACCATTCATCGTTCCCGTGATCTTCCGCACAGACATTGACATCCACTGCCTTATTTACGTGATTAGGAGTAATGCTACCATCAAATGATAATTATTCTATATCCACCTAGAGACTTTATTAAGATGCATGAGTAGACTATCAGGAGCCCATGTACTGTGCAAATAGACAGGCACAAAAACAAAATCTAGTCCATGCTATTGAAAATAGCAGAACGTTTAGATCGCATCTGGAGATAGAAGCGAAAAGAGAACCATACTCATAAGCACTTGATTCGTTTGATTAATACTGTGGAGTTTTTTGCAATAGTCTCCTGGCTCTTAGGGTAGAGGAGTTTTCTAGCATTGAATTTCGGTGGGAACATCAATAAAAATGGTAGATGTCAGCGCCGCTAAGAACAAGTCGAGCAACGCCAACTTACTGTACGCATCATGCCTTTGCAGCAAATGAGCAGGGGCTTTATACTGTCGGCGTTCGGTACGTCAAAGTTCATTAGCGAGGCGCGCCAGAGGTAGCTCCTTCTAAACAGAACCATATTGACCGAAAACTCAAAGGCGAGCGATTGTGTGCTTCTGATTTCGATCGTGGGTTGAGGAATAGTGGTGCGAATCGCGAGAATTTGAAGGGTCCATAATAGCTTAAAAAAATTCAGAGCGTAGTTCTAGTGTAGTTCTAGCTGCTCCTTTATTAGAACTACGCTGCAGGACCCCTGCCCACAATAGATTCAAAATGGTTGCCTAACCTCTTCAGCGGGACCTGAAACGGCCATGCAGCTGTAAAAGTCGTATTATATCGTGAATTCCCTTTTTGTGTACGAAGATTGTCAGAGTGACCTGTTTGTGACGCTGGCAGTTCAATACACTAAATTGGACTGTAGCCTTGGCAATCTGTAGAGCTGTCCTACGGTACTGCATCTTGGCATGGTACAAAACCTAAAGTCCTCCGCGAGCGACACTCATCTTGTGATGACTATGAAACATCATGAGGCTACAACATCATTGAACGCATCTTGCTAATCTTCTCGCCCCTTGTCGTCTGTCCAAAGCTACCCACGATTGAGAACAAAAAACTCATGCCATCTTCCAAGGATGCTATCACTGCCTGCAATTTTACCACGCCACGTAAGAAATCTCTTTCTCGAAGTACGTGCATGTTTCTACAAACTGATCTGACGGACGCCAGCATTTGCTCTCCAGACCACTCGAAATCGATGCGCATAATGGAATGCAGACACTTCCTGCCCCGCAATCCTCGCGGAGGATGACAACTTCACATACAGCTCTCTCCACGCTTCATGCTGATGAGCAGATCATTCAGCTCAGGAAATCCAGTGTGAGACGATACGGCGCAAACTGGCTTCGGCCACCAGGCATCACGAAAACTCTTCAATCCAAGCTAGAAGAGGCACAAGAGCGGCTGGAACAAATTGAGATACAGCGCAGGGATGCGGAGTTGCGCGCACAAGAGGAGGCTGCTCGACTGGCCACCCTGGGCGAGCCTGGTGCAAACCACGACGGACTTCTAGATCAGGAAGAACAAGACCTGGATGCCGATGTGCCCGATGCAGAGCATACGGGTGCTCTATCCGATGAAGATGCCGAATTCACAGCAAGCGTCACCTTTGATGCGCCAAGTTTATTACACGAGTCGCCAAGTAACGACACGCAAGTTGTGCTCGGTATGGAGGACGCGGAGCTTGATGGTACGCTGCAAGACGCAAGGGATCTAGAAGATATAGGAATGGAATGCGATCTAGATGATGATGTCCCTCTGGCTGGCAGCTATGAGCACACTGATACTGAACAGGAAGACGACAGTAGCAGTGAGTAGGATGAAAATAAATTTACATTCAGCAACGCGTTCTACCAACCCTATCTCACAAAGCAACAGCAGTACCAGGGGAAGTTGAATGAGTGATGAGGGCGAGCCGCTTGCTTGTACTTCTTTCGTTCAGAGCTCACCTGACTTCTCAGGTAATATTACAGGCGTTGGTTTGCGGAACTCCACCAGGACCCCACAACGACGTTGATTTCATTGCTATTGTATTATACATAGTTCTACATATACGCAATAAAATGTTTGCGGAGAACGTCTTAAGTGTGCTTGGCACATTTGGTTGGCGTGTGAACTTCATTGTGACGTCAAGGCTCGAGCATTAGCGCAGCCCGACCCCTGAATGAGCGAACCTTGCTTGACTCTCTTGCAAATTCAGTCTTCACCACATCTCCCCAACCTTCCAAGCAATTGAAGATGCCGTCAACATTTTGAAATTTAACAGCTACGTAACTCAAGACTGAGAAGGAAAAATGAAACTGGCACTCATATCAGTGCACAAGAGAGGGCCTTTTGGTATCAGCTCCCCTTATAAAGCCTCAAGGTACCCGGGGTTCATAGACCTGCCATTGAAGTACAGAGAATACTAAGGTCATCATATAGGCTCCTAATTTCTCCCTCAACATCGAGTCAGCCAGCTTATTGCCTTCGGGCATTATCCTTGGAGGCTGGCGAGGGCAAATCTGGCCATATTCATATTGATTCCAATGAAGGCGTCCTGTTTTTTGGGAGTACGGCTGTGCGATATATTTCTATGCCATAAGCTCTTCTAACTTGCCCTTAGATGTATTTCCGCTGCGATTCAAATGGCTGCTGCGCTTGCCGTGGCAGGCGGAAGACATACTCGGCAAGATGATTAAGGTCACCCTTTCGAAATCTAAGAAGAATCCATTGGACATTGTACAAAACCTAAAAATGCCAATCAAAGTGACTGAAGTCCTTCCAAGGTTCAAAGAAGGTGGCGCATTCGTCAAATTCACATATGGAAGTAGTATCTCAGCCGAGGAATTTGAGACCAGAATATCGGATTATCTAAAATCAGAAGGCATCAGGCCGTGGTGGAATCCTTTTGATCGCGTACGTGCTAGTCTAGTTCGTGGAAAACCATGGGTGGAGGATCTTTATCGCTTGCCCAGCACTAGGATAAGAGTCGAATTCGTTGCCACTGATCCTAACGGTGACGCAGTCGAGCTCTCACAAGAGCAGCTGTACAGCTTCTTTAGACCATATGGCAAGCTTGTCGATATAATTCCACAGCCGCCTGACTCTAAGTTACTCCCACGCTTTGCGTATGTTGACTTTGCCAACATTCACAAAGCGATCATGGCCAAAAATTGCCTTCATGGTATAATCATACCGGAGGCTGAAGGGGGTGGTAAATGTGGAACTGTCTTGCGACTCGTGTATGAGCGTAAAGCAAAGACAAACTGGGTGTGGGATTGGGTCTCCACGCATACTCGCGTTGTGCTCCCTGTTGCCGCCGCACTTGTAGCAGGAGTCACTGTGGCAATTTTTGACCCGTGAGTCCAAGTCGAACAACAGCGCTTATCTTCTGTTTGCTAATATGATGTAGGATTCGAACGTGGTTTATTAAGATACATGTTACACGACAATTCGATATCTCAGACAACAAGTTCTATCGTTGGTTTAAAGCACAAACTACCGACCTTTTCCATCGCAGGTCTACTGATGAGGCTGGAATGGATGTCATTTGGAACGATCGCAAGGCCAACATAGACCAGATTCGAGGCTGGCTCCTTGAATCCTCGGATACTTTCAATATTGTTCAAGGTCCACGCGGCTCGGGGACAAGAGAACTTGTCAAGGAAGCACTCAAGCATCGCAAGTATAAGTTGGTGGTTGACTGTAAACAAATACAAGAAGCGCGAGGCGATTCTGCAACTATATCTGCCGCTGCTGCAGAAGTAGGTTATCGACCCGTGTTCTCCTTCATGAATAACATTAGTGGTTGGGTTGACCTAGCCGCACAAGGAGCTACGGGCGTGAAAACTGGCTTTTCGGAAACTCTCGAGACACAATTGGTGAAAATATGGAACAATACAGCGACCGCACTAAAATATATTGCGCTTGAGTCTCGGAAGGAAAATGGGAAAGATGCGAATCTATCTGACGATGAATATCTTGAAGCTCATCCGGAGCGACGGCCTGTTGTGGTAATCGATAACTTTCTGCACAAGAGTCAGGATAATCCCATCATTTATGACAAGATTGCAGAATGGTGAGCTTTGAGACAACAATTAGTGTGTTTGTCTAACCTTCATGGGACAGGGCGGCAAGGCTGACGACTGCAAACATTGCACACGTGATCTTCTTAACTAACGATATGTCCTTTTCAAAATGCTTGAATAAGGCCTTGCCTGATCGTGTCTTCAGACAGATATCTCTTAGCGATGCTTCACCTGCAGCTGCTAAGCAGTATGTAATCTCTCACATCGACAGTGAGGGTGACCTGAGTGATGACCCGGAAAATCCGGGCAAGGAGCTCTTACCATCTCAGCGGAGAAGAGATTTAAACGAGTTGGATGAATGCATAGATAGCATCGGGGGTAGACTTAGTGACCTCGAGTTCTTGGCCCGTCGTATAAAGGCTGGCGAAACTCCTCGTAAAGCCGTCCGAGAAATGATCGAGCAGTCAGCATCCGAAATTTTCAAAATGTATCTCACTGTTCAGGATGACAGGAGTTCTCGCAAATGGACGGCAGAACAGGCTTGGTATGTCATCAGATGTTTGGCAGAGTCCGATTCGGGGATCCTCCGCTATAACGAAATAATACTCGCTGATGTCTTCAGAGGATCGGGAGACGCAATTCTGCGAGCACTTGAACAAGCTGAACTGATCTCCATAATGGTTGCCAGGAACGGGAGGCCACGGGCAGTGAAGCCTGGAAAGCCTATCTTTCTTCCTGCCTTTAAGCATCTATCAGAAGACTCTGTTCTCCGAAGCCGGCTAGACTTGGGAATTTTAGGTGAACTAATCAGAACAGAAACTGCAGCAGTTGAGAAATATGAAAACGAACTGAAACTACTCGGCGACTTACAGAGAACGCCAGGCGAGATTGTACCTCGTGTTCGATGGTTACTTGACAAGCTTGCTGCGAGTCAAAAAAAAGTGGAGAGTTATGAGCTGGAAAGAAATAGCTTGAAAAAAATATTCAAAGACGAATTTTGACGCGCGTGTGATGGATCATCCCGCCAATTCCACTCAATGCAAGGAATGTAGAGATCAGGGTTGATATTAGGAAACGACTTGCAGTGGGTTGCTAAATTTATTATTACATATACTGGAAAATTAATGGTATCAACCACTTGGTTCTATAGTGTTATACCCCCGAGGTAAAATGCAGAACAAAATGATTGCGTCAGGCCAAATGTCAGAAATGAACCCTCAGAAGAGGAAGACGGTCATACACGATCTTGTGTAAAGTCAACTTGACATTTAAATTGAACGACCAAAAGCGAGTGGGATAGGCAAGGTCAGGACTGGGGGGATTGAAGGGCCAGGGATGGCGGGGTATCGTGCACGGATAGGAACGGAGGCCTGAAGGAGGGGGGGGGGGG